TTTTTCTTTAAACTTGACTCTAGTCTATTCTTTGACAGGTGTTTGACTATGTCTGGCAAACGTATGAACCCAGATCAAGTGCCAAGCAGACAGTCAAACACAGTGTTTCTAACCTGCATCTGTTCGCTGCTCGCCTTTTGCCCTCAAAACAGGTGTTATGTCCAAGGGAGAAGGCCGTGCCATGCGCCTGTTGAGTAAAGACAACACAGGCTTGTCTGCCCTGAGGCTGTGCCACACACACAGGGAGAAATCACAACCACATTTGCGCACACACACAGAAGATTAATACACAAAAGCACCAGGACTTACAGCACCACCTGCCCCAAACACAAACAGAGCATGATGGGTAGATTAACAAAGAAGCCAAGCAGAAGCTGCGAGTGTCAGTGACAGTCTGACAGAGAGAGAAAGACACACAGAACACGCTCTTGCGTTTAAAAAAGCAAGCTGAGGATTGGAAAAGTCTCAATGCACATTTTTACACTTTTTGTAATGATGCAGCATATTTGAAATGTGGAAACCAGTCATTTTAATAGGAAATCAAATTTCCCAATGCAGATTTTGCAATGGGTTCAGATTGGTCACACAGATTTGCCTCGTTACCCAGCAGAAAGCTGTATAGTTTGAAAGTGACTTCTATGAGAACTGTACTTCATACATCACAACAGTTTTGACTATAGACAACAGAATTTTTTATTATTTTTTTTGTCTGTGAAACTACGCTAAGGTAACCACACCTGGTCAACATTTACCATTGTTTGCCAAATTTTCAACAGCAAATTTCTACCAATTGTCTACTAGAAACAAAACAAAACAATACTCTAGTGGACAAATGATCAAACAAATAGTCCCACCTCTTCCCAAATCAATGGTCAAGCCTGTGTTGTTGCATAAGACTATGGGTCACTCAAAACAAGTTTTTAGAGATAAACGCTCAGCTTATAGTGATGATAATTTATTATAAATAATCTATATGATTGATATTATATATAACTATAGCCATAGTACATTACAATTATAAACAAATAGAACGACAGACCAACAAGCAGACAGAATTAAATAAGATTCAATATAAAAATCTTAAGTCACTTTGAGTCACTTACAGGCTATATATTACTTTGCTTTACTTGCCCTATAGCCAAATGTTTCCTTTTAGTTGTCCCCTTTTGAGGAAAACTTTATTTTCATTTTTGCTATGTAAATTCTTCTCATTCTTCATTACAATCTCTTAAAACAAGTGAAGTGAATTGCACTGACTCTTGCTAGAAGTAAACTGCAGTTTTCCTCAATTTCATGCATGTGATCTACTGTGATGTCACACTGTCATGTGCATGTACTTTACAGTCATTCATAAACTCCAGATTTAGGACTCAGCTGACAGAGAAAGTTGATAATCAGCGGCAAGATACCAACAAAGCCAGTATGGATTGGTTTGGTTCTGTAAACTTGAAACCAACCCTTTTAACCCAAAGTTTGTTCAGCTAACCTCATGGTTCAGGCCCCAGAGGAAATACTAGCCACTGAAAGTGTTTACACAATGAGTTTTGTGAGTGTTTCTACTCAATTCGTTTGCTTTCTTTCTACAATAAGACATTCAACACCACCAAAAACGGCTATTTACTTCAGCTAACGGACGGCAAGATTAGATCAGCAATGGGTAAGACAGAGGGAAACAAAATATTTACCCACACTTCAGCAGTGTGTGAAATAGAAGAGCTCTGTGTGAATGGATTTAGGACGGCTCATACACACAATCAAACAAAAGCTCTTTGACAGGAACATTCGATTATAATAACAGAAAAAGTGTGTTGAATGGCTCTGACACTTTACTGATAATACGGTTATTTTTGAAGCAGCAGCGCACGGTCCAGAAATCCTTCAAATCAGTACATCTGCAGTGGAAAATGCAGCCAGCTACCGTTTAAACATTTTCACTGTTAAACAAGCATATTAGGCTATCTGAGAGCACAATAACTTAATTATCTAATGTCAGAATTGCAGTAATTATAGTTTTTGATCTGCTTTATTTGCACCCACAGGCTCCATTATGAAAACAATGCCCTGCAAAAGTTAACAAACGTAACGTTAAGGCTGCAGGGGCTCAGAGTCGACGTCTGCGGCGTCGTTGGAGGCCTAGTCGAGTTCAGACAGTAGCAAGTGAACAAACAGCAACACCTTCTCAGCCAGCATTCTTGACATTCTCCTCGATCACTCAAAGACATGTTTATCTGTCTCTCTTGCTTCCAAATTACAGGGTAGAGACAGAGAGAGGGAGGGCTTCAGGTGCTCCAGAACAGCTAAAGAGTTGAAGGGAGAGAGAGAGAGAGAGAAAGAGGTGGATATGAAAATGTTACAAATGAGTATCTCTTGAGAGATGAAGGGTAAACGCAGAACCGCTAGTTACGTGATGACTGATTCTGTAGAAGGAGACTCTGTGTACACACACACACACACACGGTCACAGACAACCTGGCGTGGAGCTGCATTGTGGACTCAAGAGAATAGCAGCTTTGTTTCCCAGGGAACATCTGAACACACAGTAAACACAGAACAGTAAACACAAACCAGCACTCAAACACCAATCAACCGTATGACATCCCCAGTGCAGTCACACCGGAGCGTGATGTGTTTGATATCATTTTCTGGTTTAAAAGCATGTCATTTATAATGTAACAAGAAACCGTTCTACTTGCAACAGTTAAAAAAAACAACATTAGGAGTACATTCATGTTGCTGCAGCTCAACAGCGCAATCAATATACCTACACAAATCTTGATCTTTGCTGCCCTCTGGTGTTTATTAACCGTAGTAGCTACAAGGGTCCCAAAAAAAAAACTTTTTGCCAAAGGACTGGTGAATTAACAGAATTTACCAGGCATAGGCCTATAAACATTTCCAACTTTTAACTATGTATGTTTATATATATATATGTGTGTGTGTGTGTTTAACTGTATTATATGTTATTTCTACGATGCAGGTCATTTCAAAATAGCATTATTACTTAATATTTACGGAATAAGGTAGAAAAGAAAAGGCGAACTCTGCTTATCAAGCGATTGAGTTCTTTATAAGGAATCCAGAACGCGGAATTTCTAGCTAATATATAACTGTAGACTACATACTCTGAGATGAAATGTCTAGAGGAATTTGTCAAGTCAGATAAAATAAATAAAGTGAGACCATTTCTACACAGCACTAACACAAAGTTAGTTAACGTATTGGACCAAAGTGCTAGTCCCCACTATTTTATTGTGTGGCACCTCAGACGGATTGGGTAGGAATCAGGACCTAGTTTAAATTTAGTAAGGTTATTTCATACAGTAACTTGTGTACCATGTGTCAAAAATTTTTTTTTTTTTTAAACCTTTCTACCTTGCCCTAGAAAGAGCCCAAATCTTACTTATGGGGTGTCAATTTTCACAAAGGTAAGGTAATTTAAAACTGCTTTTTAAAAAATAATCACTGGAACACAAAATATATTTTGTCTAAAGCAGTGGTTCCTTGATCTTTGCTGCCCTCTGGTGTTTATTAACCGTAGTAGCTACAAGGGTCCCAAAAAAAAACTTTTTGCCAAAGGACTGGTGAATTAACAGAATTTTATGTTAAGTTTATGACAACCACGGTCCTGGAGGGCCCCCAACACTGCACATTTTGCATGTCTCCTTTGTCCGACACACCCATTTCAGGTCTTGGAGTCTCTACTAATAAGCTGATGACTTGAATCAGGTGTGTTTGATTAGGGAGACATGCAAAATGTGCAGTGTTGGGGGGGCCTCCAGGAATGTGGTTGGGAACCACTGGTCTAAAGCATAACTAGATCATGCTTCCTAGTTTTTCCAAGATCAAAAGCACACAAAAAAAACCTACATTAGAGCATGTGTTTGATTAGGGAGACATGCAAAATTGTGCAGTGTTGGGGGGCCTCCAGGAATGTGGTTGGGAACCACTGGTCTAAAGCATAACTAGATCATGCTTCCTAGTTTTTCCAAGATCAAAAGCACAAAAAAAACCTACATTAGAGCATTTTTTCTATCAAAATGTCAGGTGAGATTTACATATAAATGCAGCATTTCTTTACTTCAGTAATCTCATTACTTTTGAGAAACTTGATAGCAAAGTGAAGGACACATTTCTCTTTCAGAATTCAAAACAAATCAGTAGGACTGGAATAGACAACCACTTCAAAAGCTGTAATTGAATTCTTTTATCATGAAGTTATCTCTCAAAGATACTACAGCACAAAGTTAAGAGACCGAAAGCAGCAACATCTTTTATTTCCCTGCACCTTTGTGACTTGACAGGTTGACATTTTCTGGATGGGAAAAACTCAAATGAAAAAAATTAGTTGTTTTAACATTCTAAAATAACTTATTTGTAACTTCTCACAACAGGTTCCAACATTTGAAAAATGGAAACAAAACCAGATCAAAAACATTAGCCTACTCTGTGCAGGGAGCATGTACACAGACCTGTAATGTAATTATGGGATGATTTTGGAACAAGAAGTGAAGTCTAGCCATCCTCCTAAATCAAACAGATAATATCTTACAAGCCCACATGATGGCACTGTTACCATGCTGCAATCGCAGTTCAGCTCAATACAAAGCTGTTTGACTCGCATTTGTCCATTAACTGCTCCAAATTCCTCTGCCAAAACTAGCAGCAGGGAAATAAAGACATGTCTTAATGAGTAAATCAATTAGCATTCTTGCCAAGAACTGATACAACTCCAGCCTTACAGTTCATCAGACTCGATGCTGATGATGCAAGCAATTTGCCTGAAGCACCTGAGACTGAATTAATGTAAAATATGACTCAAAGACCCAGAATTTAAAAAATTTAATAAAAGCACAATCAAGTTAAAATATGGGAAGGGGGGGGAGAAATACAGAAAATTAAACCAATGGCTTTAGGAACATTAAAGCATTAAATTTTTAGCTTTCGTCCCTGAAGGAAAGTTACACACAACACAAAAACATTAAATAAGACAAAAACACAGGTTGGTTTCTCACAAAAGTTTATTTTACACTTCAAGATTTCTTGCTTGCAGCGGCAACCTGCAACACAGCATAAGGAAAAAGATCAGGATTAAGAGACAAATCAATCATATCAGTCTGGTTATTCCCTGCACCGTCGCCCCAAAATCCTTGAGAAATTCATTAACTGTGCGGAAACATTCAGGAGCCTTTCAGGTTCTGGATGTGATCTTAGCCAGGAGATTAGGAGCAACATTCGCTTCTACACTGACACCGTTTTTGCTCATGCCACCAATGAGAAGCCAAGCATATCAACAATGCTCTGGAAAGAGTCAGAGTGCAGACGACACAGCCAAGGCAAGCACAACACAAGAAAATCACGTTAACTCATCTGAATTCAGCTCATTAAGGGGATCAGGCAGAATAAAACGCCGCCATACGGCAGCCCAGCGAGCATGAAATTCAATCGGCTTGTTTACTTCCTCCAGCATCGGATTGGTGCACAGCGGTAGCTCGCAGGGAAAGCGGAGGACCAAGAGAGGGGCGAAAAGCAAGCGAAGGATTTGGAGATGTGCATGCATTTCCTTTTTGAAGACAGTACCGTGTCCACACCAAATCAAAGCTACTGCAGTAAAAAATAACCATGAGGCCTTTTAAGTGAAAATAGGTTCATTACATTCAGTACCTAGATCTGCTCGTTCTCATGCTGCATTGTGCAGCAACATCGTTTTAATTCCTTTGAAATTTGATTACACATCTAAGGTGAACAGAATTTTGTGAACTCTGAGAACCACCATCTGTTGTACGGTATCTGACTAACTTAAGAAGCCTGACTTGGAGACTAAATCGATAGCGCCTTAAATCCGATTTTACAAAAATCGATGTTACAAATGCTCAAGTTCACAAATACAGTAACCTGATAACACTTCTTACCTGCCCAGCAATTCTGTCCAGGTCTCTGGTGCCCTGAGGGGTCAGCCTACGCCCACTAAAAAACAGCAACAATTGAGAGTAACACCACCACCTGCAATAATACAGATCACATATGGTCACAAGCAGCCTACAGGCTACTCACCCATTGGGGTCTTTCTCCACCATCTTGAGTCCCTCGAGGGCCTGGAGCACTTTACGGGCAACGTTCTTGGAGCCCACACTGAAGTGAGAGGGGCACACGCCGTTCCTTTTACGGCCGCCATAGATCTTTGTCATGGAGCCCACGCCAACACCTCCACGCAGGTACAGGTGACGCACTGTGGAGGCTGGGAGAGGACAGAGAGGGTCAGAAGGAGAGATTTCTTCAGGGCAGTGGAGGACAACAGGGGGCAACATGCCAAGAGACATTTCACTTTTGCTTCTAAAAGAAAGAACCAACACGAGTGTTCAAACTCACAGCAAAAAATACAGCACACATGGCAAAAAATCTGTAACAAACTCAGCTCTTAATTTTACACAGCGAGTCAAGTGGGAACTTCAGAGAAAGAAAGTTTCATCAGTTTCTCAGCACACAGCAGAAAATGCTGATACATTAACAGGACAAGGTCATCAATAATTGAGCCCAATCCTGACACAATCGCTTGCATTAACCATCCATTGTTTTCCACCAGATTCTCAGAGTAAACATTTAGAGCCACAAAACTGTCATCATTTGAAAAACACCACATTTTTGCTTACAGCACAAAGTATTCAAACAGATCATCAATCACAAAACAACAAAGTTAACCACGCTTGTGCATACTAGAAAGCAAGCTAAACATGGTGGTTTTGCTCCATCTTACTTAGGGATGGGTACCGAGAACTGGTATTTTTTTGGACCGTAATTGGGTCAATACCGGAGTACCGCGGCAAGAGTGAATCGTTTGAAAGGGTGGGCTCACATTACAAATCTAATGCGCTGTATTATGTCTCGCGGCTCCAGCTCCAACTGAAACTTGCGAGACACATTCACATCAAATGTTGATTCGGTAGTAGTGATGGGTCATTCTTGAACGAATCTTTAATGTGGCTCGGGAAGAGCGAGTCGTCTCGGGGAATGATTTGTTCAGTCGCGCATGCGCAACATTCTATAAGTTCTGTACTGGGATTAGTCAAGTAGTTCACCTGTTTCGAGTCTTCTGGTTTTTCTGAGTGGTTCGTTCATCACGTGACAGACCTATAAGCTTAACCTATACAGTCTGAGCCGGAAAGAGACTTGATAACCAACTCTTTATTACCTTTGTTACAACAGTGTTATGTAAAAGAACCATCATGACAGAAATTCACACATTCATAAACTGTAAGAAGTAAAAAGCTACAATTTGAGACCAGAAACGCATCACGTAACTGCAAGAATATTATAATTATGATGATAATACTACTAATAATAATGACTATGCACCTGTTTGTAAGGAAGCTTGTAAATTAACTAATTTCTCTATCCAATGCCGTCACATCACGTGACAAAAGAACGAACGATTCAAAAGACTCGAGAGATTAACTAATCAATTCTCTTTCCGGCTCAGACTGCATAGGTTAAGTTTATGGGGCTGCCAAGTGATGAACGAACGAATCAAAACCGAAGACTTGTCAGATAGGAGGTGAGGTGAGCTAATCGTAGACTGAAGACCCAGGTAAACAATGAATTAATCTTGTCTGTTTCCTATAGAATTATAGTTTTGTATTGTTTGTAGAATTATCAACGTTTGCGTTAGTAGACGTGTTAGGGAAGTAACACGTAACATTTTAGTTACGAAATGAAATGACAAGAAAAAAAAAGATGAGTTCATTTTGCTGAACGAGACTCAAAGGTCTGAGTCGGTAAAATTATCCGAACTTCCCATCACTATTCTGTAGAGTTACACTCACGAGACTTCACAGAAGTACATTATTTCCACATGCTTTAAAGCCTTGCCGGTTAAACATTTTATTTGCGTGCTGTTCTAACATGTGCTTATTCAGAGCGCGTACACCCGAAGCGTGGGTACACTGAAAGAGCGGTCAAACAGCCCCTGATTACTTATCTTAAAGGGGTCATATGATGCGATTTCAATTTTTCCTTTCTCTTTGGAGTGTTACAAGCTCTTGGTGCATAAACAAGATCTGTAAAGTTGCAAAGACTAAAGTCTCAAATCCAAAGAGATATTCTTTAAAGTTGGGCAACTCCAACTTTGCAAGGACAGTCTGGCAATTGATGACTCGCAGCCTGTAAGTAAGTTTTTCCATTTAAAGAATTTGCCACTGACGATTCAAACTCGAGTTTTGAGCAGTGTAGAGTAGCGCTTGTTTGCCGTTTCTCCGATCACAAATGCAGACATGGTTTTAGGTTTACACAGCGCGATATGCAAGGCAACGTGTAAAAAGACAGTATAAGTCATTATAATCCATAATTATGTCCCCACTGGATGCAACGAATGCCTCGTTTGTAATGGGTTTTACTGGTTTTGTCTCATGCATCTGTTTGATGCACAGGCGCTCGTCACACACATGGCCTTCACAATATGGTAGGGGCGTAACATTTCAGTCACACGCTTGAGATATTCGGTCAATCACAATGCACTGGATAGCTGGCCAATCAGAGCACACCTCGCTTTTCAGACCGATAAGC